ATCTTTACATATTTCCACCAGAGAATAACACGAAAAGCATTGTTTATCAAGAGAGAGCAATGAAAAGTGCAACCCATTCGTACATGCTGTTATAATAACTTTTTGTCATTTACACCATATTACTATTATGTTCCAGGGGTTCTAAGTTGGGTTGTGCTGTGTTATAAATGTCATACGTAACAGTTTTTTGCCATGCTTATTATCTTATTAGACTGATTTGTAAATATTGATATTGTGTGCAATGTTATTCTCCATTTTTACCCAATGTTCCTATTGTGTCCGATTATTAGTAGTATGAATTAGTAGCATGATTTTGCAGCGCAGCGGGTACCTGGAGCTAGTATTAAATAAAGGGTGTGTAGAGTAAATTCCCCACCACTGCCAGAGTGACAGTTGGTGGATCATTGAAGTAGACTATGAAGGCAAACTTTTAGAGCAATAAAAAAACTATATACCCAATTGCAAGGTTCAAGCAAAAAAGCCATCTTTTCTGCCGGACTATAAGCCTGGATTGTGTTGACTAGTCCAGTATGGCTGCATATCAGATACCCGCTCCACTTCCTATGTCGATGAAAGGAGAACTGAGCACAAATTGGAAAGTATTCAGACAAGCTTGGGATTATTATGCAATAGCCACGGAGTTAAATGAAAAAAGTGGAATAGTTCAAGCTGCAGCCTTGTGTAGCATAATGGGCCCGGAATGTGTCAAGATTATGAACACCCTACCTACTTTGTCTGTGCAGGATAAGAAAAATCCAGAATTGATTCTCAAGCAACTAGGTGAACACTTTATACCACAGAAGCATGTACTTTTCGAACGCAACAAGTTTTTGCTGGCTACTAAATTTGCTGCTGGCAATTTTAAAAACGAAACAAATGAAACAAATGATAGGATCATAGACCAACTGATATGTGGTGTTAAACACCGTGAGCTACAAAAATAATACCTGGGGAAAGACGACAAGATGACACTCGAACAAGCCATTAACTATGGCAGGGCGTTCGAGGCGTCCATGTCCCATATGGAGAAACTATCGGTGGTACACAGAGACAACATGGCCTCTGGTACAGCGTCCGTACACGCGTTCAGGAGACGTGATCGGGCACATCGAGGCAACGACCGGGACGACACCCAGAACTGCAGAAATTGCGGTAAAAAGCACCCCCAAAGGAAATGCCCCCCGTATGGGACAGTGTGCGGTGCTTGTGGAATCACAAACCACTGGGCACAGTGTTGCATGAGAAAAAATCGCAACAAAAACCGTAACAGCGGTACCGGTCACTCCAAGTCACGCGATCGAAGGTCACTACGCCGTGACCATGGCCGCAGTAAAGGCCTGAGTAGGGTGAACTCTAATGTTCATTCATTAAACCAGCAGTCACAATCAGAATATGAATCTGAGAACGTAGGACAGGCATTCGATCGCATGAAGTTTTCGAGTATTGGTGTAGGCGCTGTCACACAGCCGAGCCACATTGGAGAAAATAGAGATGAAATTTTCTCCGACCTTGACATCATAGTGCCAGGTCGCAAGGATCGCAATGCTTCCTTAAAGGTCAAGGTCGATACTGGCGCGCAGGGCAATACCCTGCCGATACGCATTTTCAGACGTATGTGTCCACAAATGCTAACACCCGATGGGTACCCCAGAGCAGACAGAGTGCGGAACAGAGCCATGACTTTGCAGACTTTGACTGCATACAACGACACAACCATCAAGCACTATGGGTCGATCGGACTGCCGTGTAGTCACAACAACAAGAATGTTGTGGCAGAGTTTTACATCGTTGAATGCGATGGGCCGGCGATATTGGGGTTACTGTCGTCGTTAGCGCTAAAGCTAGTATCGGTGCATTGCGCTATCACGGCAAAGCCGCAGAAACCTGTGGCCAGCCAGAGACCTGGCATTCCAGCCATTCGGTCAGTACGTGACCTACAGGGGCTGTACCCCGACCAATTTGATAAAATTGGCAACTTCCCAGGAGAGTACCACATCATGGTGGACCCGAACATCCCTCCTGTGGTACACGCGCCACGTAAGACACCCATCCAAATGAAAGACGAGATCAATACTCAGCTAGACCAGTTGGTCAAGCAAGGCGTTATCAGGCGGGTAACAGAACCCTCGGAGTGGGTTAGTTCCCTGACATACAGCCGTAAAGCAGACGGTAGTTTGCGCATATGCTTGGACCCAAAGGAACTAAATCGTGCAATCTTGCGATCTCACAATAACACCCCTACCCTCGAAGAAATCACACACCGATTCAACGGCGCACGTGTGTTCTCAAAACTTGACGCCAAGAACGGATATTGGTCAATCAAGCTGGATGCGGAATCCCAGCTATTGACCACGTTCAACACGCCGTTTGGGAGGCATTGTTTTTGCCGTTGTCCGTTTGGGCTAGTTATGTCCCAAGACGTGTTCCAGAGAAAAATGGACGAGATTCTTGACCAAGTAGGAGAAGGGGCGTTAGGGATAGCAGACGACATAGCAGTCTATGCTGAAAACCAGGCCAAACACGATCAAGTGTTACACAAGTTGATGCGCGTTACGAAGGAACGAGGCCTGATGTTCAACAGTGGGAAATGTCAGATCAACGTACCGTTTATAAAATTCTTCGGTATGGTGTACGACGCAGATGGCGCACACCCAGATCCTGACAAGATCGACGACATAAAAGCGATGCCACCCCCCGAAAACAAGACTGCAATGCAAGAGTTTTTAGGACTGGCAACATATATGTCGCCGTTTATCCCAAGGCTATCCGATCACACATGTCATCTCCGGGAGATGCTCAAGCGAGATGTTGTGTTCGATTGGTCACCTGCTCACCAGGAAGCGTTTGACAAGATCAAACAGTTGATCTGCAACAACGTCACCCTGGCGTACTACGACCCTGCTAAGGAAACAGTCCTGCAGGTCGATGCATCGTTGAAGGGCCTGGGTGCGGCACTCATACAGGACAACCGTCCGATTATGTTTGCGTCGAAATCTCTGTCAGACACCGAGCAACGTTATGCAAACATCGAACGGGAGCTGCTGGCAGCAGTATTTGCAGTGGAAAGATTCCACACCTTCCTCTATGGCCGCCACTTCAAAATAGAGTCGGACCACAAGCCATTAGAGATGATTTCTCTGAAAAACTTGACGTCGGCACCTCCACGATTACAGCGAATGGTGATGCACTTACAAGGGTACGATTTTACCATACGGTATCGACCCGGGCCAGACATGCTCCTGGCAGATTGTCTCTCGAGACAACCCAATCAGAGAAAGCGTACTACAATTGACCTCGACGTCAAGGTATTCCACGTGCAGTTCTCGACGTCAAAGATTCAGCAACTGCGAGAGGAGTCTAACAAAGACGCCATTCTTTGCGCGTTGCGAGACGTTATCATAGCCGGATGGCCAGATGAGCGACGCGGTCTCCCAACCCCGCTCAGGGTATATTGGTCCTTCCGAGACGAACTGAGTGTCGAGAACGGACTAATCATGAAAGGCCAAAGAGTGATGATACCTGAGAGTGAGACCATGCAAGCCGATATCTTAGAGCAGATACATACTGGTCACCAGGGCGTTACCAA